CAAGCCGTATAACTCTGCTATTGGATCTATAGTTAGAATACATAGTCGCTGACTGGATTCCCTTCTTCCCCCAGACTCCACGTGGATCCAAGGACGGGAGTCGGGTCGCACACCCGTCATTGGATCCACGTGGAGTCTGGGGGAAGAAGGGAATCCAGTCAGCGACTATGTATTCTAACTATAGATCCAATAGCAGAGTTATACGGCTTGCAAACAGGGCAATATGTCTTGGGTAAGGAATCAAATGCTCGAGTTACCTTCGTCATGGGGTACGGACATCATCGACAAGTTTGCGAGCAACACACCCAGCAGGGCGCGCTCCGAAAGCGGATAGGAAAAGGACCGGGGGGCGGTCGGGGGTCGTCGGGAATTGGAGATTGTTGTTGCTTCTGTCGGGTTTTCCTCGCTTTTGTCCTCGCCGGCTCCACCCGCTCCGCTTTCCATCTTCGGGGCACCCGCACGTGTCACACCAAATACACTACATGTGTACATGGAGAACTCCGTCTCTGGCGCTGAGATGGGCTCCCTGAAAATATCAAACAACAAGACTAGATATATTTCATTCTATTACCTCTTCTGTAATATGGGGTAACATCATTGTACGGACCACTCTGAACTCGTATTACGATGTCAATCACTTTGTGCTCAAATCGGGGGTAAATTCGTCTCGAAGTCAGGTAACATTCACCGGTGCGTATGTTGTGCGTACTCATAGTTCCTAAAATCATATATAACGACGTCGAATGCCCGTAATGCTGATCTTTGGTCGAGAGTGGGCATTTGGGGAGGGGGGCGGCGGCGGCGGCACGGACAATAGAACCCTAACCCACCTCCCAATCATGGAAGATCCGACCATCCCGCTGTGCTTCCGAGTTCCCACAGACCGCTTTACCACCGCATAGAAGCAAACCATAGCGGAGTTCCATATGGCATGACCAGGTCATATCATACATCAGAACTCCGGTGTTTTCTATATCAGTTGTCTGGTTTACCGTTTCAAGAAGTCCCGCGAGTCATCCAGCTGCTGTAGGTGTTTGTTTTGTCCCCTACCAGAATCACATGCTGAAGATCTTGACATGTTCTTAGTCAGCCGCTTCACTTAGTTTTGTCTGTTTGTATTTGTTTTCTGATGAACTTCGGATCCTCGACCAGAAGGAGCCATGTCGCACCAAGCTCTTAAATGCTATCGACATGTCACAAGCGGAGATAGTGGGTACAAATCCCATGCTTACTTGTGAGATGGACGGATGTTGATAGAATGAGCTTCACTCACCCACTTGGCGTGACCATGGAAATAGTACATGGTGTATATGGCTTACCAAAGTATACTGTCGATTTGGAAGCACCACCCGTTCGAGGACTTTAGGGGCTATCAGGATATGTGAAGTGACCAGCAGCTATACTCTATCAGTTGACATTACCGCACCTAAACTGTCAGCCGAACACTCCCTTCTTCACTTCCAGCTGTCGGTACGTTGCGTTTGTGAAGGCGTTGATGCAAGGACAGTGGGTGCCACCCGCCCGGCTCAGCCAGGTTTCCCTTCTCACAAAAGTCGAGGCCCTTCGGCGAGAATGGAGCTGAAACGAGCGGTTTTTGGTGCCCTAAACTTCGGCAGCCATCTGATTAGCAAAAGCAGCGGCCAGGGGACGGGAAGTGTTGCGTTTGCAACCGCCCGCGAGCGATTCGTGCACGTTTCTGCACCAAGTACTAGAAACTGCGGTGACCGAAACCGCTGCCTGCTCAAAGTAGACTCGCTAGTTCGCATAGCACAAGCAGAGGGTCGATCTTACGGGCTGTTGGACTCGGGTCTTGTTAGAAATTGAGTGCTTAACTGGTCAGCCTCAAAAAGGTACTCATTTGTGTCCACCACGCGACTACTCAGGATTGAATGTTGTATGGACTGCGCGAGACAAGCGTCACCTATTCGGGGGTCTAACTGCGGCGATATGTCCATTGATGTGGCTCATCGAATCTCGACCAGCGTCAATGACTCGAAAAAGGAACCGGGAAGTTTGGAATGAAAGTTTGATCGAAGGCGGAGAGACCTGGGCCCTTCACACTTCGTTCCATGTTAACCTAGGTAGCTGAGATGCCCCTCTACAGTGCGGCTGCCCCGTGCTTAGGTGGCTCACATCGCTTCAGTTGTTGCCGGTGGCTGATACACGGGCCTGCATTAACCGTGGCAACCTAAACGCCTCCCCTCCAATTCCCCTCCGTCCCGTCCCTTCCCCTCCCCGCACAAACCCTCCCGTCTGTAGGTATTTTGTACAGGGCAAGCACCAGGCAGGCATGAATCAGACTCACCTCGTTCTTGTTCAGGCAACACGCTCAGTAATCGAAAACCGCCTAATCAATTATTAGGATTCGCACGACAACGTGAGTGGATAGATTGGCACCTCAATCGCAGCATTCCTGCTTGTGGGTTAACGGTAGAGGTACGGGACCTTCCTTGTCCATCCCCACTACTGCGGCAGAACTTCACCCAGGAGCCGAAGAAAAATTTATTCCACACACAAATCTCAGTTGCTGGATCCGATCCAATTTGGGAAGGACCACTGTCCCCTCCAATAACTTTTTTTTTCTTCCCTTTTGTTTTTTTTTTCCTTAACCAACCCTCTCCCCACCCGCGCAACCCAACCCCATTTCTTACCACTTTACCTACAGACTGCATCCCGAGGCTGCCATCTTTAGGGTTAGATCTCGACCTCTCTGTGGACCCAG